AGAGAGAGAGAGAGAGAGAGAGAGAGAGAGAGAGAGCGCGCGCGCGCGAGAGAGAGAGAGTTTTATTTTCTCCCCTCTCACTCTCCTTTATCTAGTTTTGGATCGATGGTGGCCGGCAATCATTCCGGCATCATCTACAATAACGAGATGGATGACTTCTTTAACAATAAAACCGGCAACGCTACGTCTCCGGCCAACAAAATACAACCGGGCAAGCGGCCGATGTCGTCTATGTGTCCGATGATCCTCGTAGATCGCACCGGACAGGTTCGACTGGTCATCGGCGCGTCCGGCGGGGCCAGGATCACTACGTCAACGGCTTGGGTGAGTCAGTCGACCGAGAGATGGCGCGCGCATCGATTGTTCGCGCGGTTTTTCGCGCGAGTTCCGATTTTTGCCGAATTTTCCCGACGTCGCACGAAGCGTGAACTGTGAGTCAGACTCCGGTGAACTTCTCAAAGATTTGTTTGTATGTGGGTGTGTGTGGGAGAAGGAGAGGAGAGCGTATTGCGTTTAGCTATATTTAAATAGTGTGCGTGTACGCCGTGCCTACTAAGATCTATTTTGCGCTGAGATATTTATAATTCATGAGGCTGCCTGAATATATATGTCATGCAGCGATGCATAATCATGGTTTATGTACAGGGAGTACGCAGCGTAGTGCAGAGAGTCAGCATTCGCGCCGACGTTAGGCTTTTCTTTTGCCGTGAGGAGTTGTTTACCGCAGATAGGAAAGTTATTAGTTGTACAATAAGATTTACTATACATTATCTTTATTTTTACTGATTTGTTGGAACTGCCAGTGGGAGATCCATGAGCGCGTGAAGCAAGCGAGACAGTAAGAAGGGGGAAGAGGAGGAGGAGGAGAAGGAGAGAAAGTGAGCGCGCGCAAGAGAAAAGAGCAAGAGAGAGAGACGAGAGCGAGAGAGAAAGAGAGCGAAAGTGGGAGAGAGAAGTGAGAGAGAGAGAAGAGAGCGAGAGAGAAAAGGATGTTGAGAGAAGGAGAGAGAGGGAGGAAAAGAAAGAGAAAGAGAGAGAAAGAGAGGGGGGGAGGAGGTTGAGAAAAAGAGAGAAAGAGAGAGGGACATATATGGGAGAGGTAGAGTGGTAGGAGAGAAAGAAGAGCGAGATAAAAAGAGGGTGAGGAGTGAAAGAGAGATACAGAAAAAGACAGTGAGAAAAAAAGAAGATATATAGATTAAGGGAGAGAAGAGAGAAGAAGAGAGAGAGAGAGAGACAGACAGAGAGAAACAGAAGGAGCGTAAGAGGAAGACGTAGAGCGAAAGAGAAAGACAGAAAAAGAAAAAGAGAGAGGAAGACGTAGAGCGAAAGAGAAAGACAGAAAAAGAAAAAGAGAGAGAAAGACAGAGAAAGAGAGAGACAGAGAGAAAGAGAAAAAGAGAGAGACAGAGAGAAAGACAGAGAGACAGAGAGAGAGAGAGAGTAAGAGAGAAGAGAGAAAGAGAGAAAGAGAGAGAGAGACAGGCAGACAGACAGCGAGAGAGAGAGAGAGAGAGAGAGAGAGAGAGAGAGAGAGAGAGAGAGAGAGAGAGAGAGGAGAGACAGACAGACAGCGACGAGAGAGAGAGAGAGAGAGAGAGAGAGAGAGAGAGAGAGACAGAGAGAGAGAGAGAGAACGAGAGGAGAGAGAGCGAGTTACGCCGAGTCCTGCCTAACGCTATGCTATTATTTGAGCAAACCTATAGATTTTTTCTGCAATTATTTCTGTCTGTTCTTGCTTTAGGTGGCGGGCGCACGAACCTCTGGGTCGGCCTTCCCAATCAACGAAGGCAATTGAACACCCCGAGTTGTCACCAGCATCAGCTACTGTCGAACGAAAATCTGTCTACGAAAATCGCTTCAGTAAGGTACAGTGGTGGACGTGTAATGTGTTGACAGGTAACGTGTTGATTTGCAGGCACAAGGGGGAGGGGCGATCACAGGTGCTTAAGTTCGAAGATGAAACTGCCGAATCGATTACTATGCCTCCGCGCAAATGATAATATTTCGATTGTCGTGTGTCGTCGAAATTTTGACCGCATTTTACAATATAATCATTACCAGATCAAACAAAAATAAACGCGCGCGCGCGGAGTTTCCATGAGTTCCTGCGTTTCCCCGAGGCCAAAGCGCACCATATTGTAAACCACTACGATCTCGTCTGCTTCCTCTTTGCGCGAATTCGATCGGCTCTCTAATGACTGAGAAGGTTGTTTGATTCGTTCTAAACCGTTTCTCCCCTCTTTCGCGCCCGTTTTCTCTTCGAAAGCTCCTATCGACTGGAGAAGGTCGTTTTGAACGGAACGTTCTTACGTCTCTCTGCGGCTTCCTCTGGCTCTTATCTCTTGTTTGCTTGAGAGTTGGCATAGGCTAAGAAATGAATAGAGTGACTAGCGCTACACGGTTGTGTGATATACGAGGTTGCGTGCTGGCGGTGGCACACGCAAACCAGTCGCGTAGGCGACTTTCCGGATCTGGGTTTTCCTCAGTTTCGATTCTTAGATTTCTGCAGTTTGCAAATGCATCTGTATTCGCGCCCTGCTGATATTCCCAAGTGGGCGCGTATTCAGCTGCAGGTTAGATGTTTGGTCATTGTGATCATTTCACTGACGTCGTTTTCGTATAGAAATAGCTCGAGAGATCTATCTTTAAAAACCCCTAATGGGAAGCAATTGTCTAACTAAAGTCGTGAATGGAACTACAACTCTTAAGCCGTCTCCTCTCTCTCGTCTCTTTTTTTCTCTTTCCATCTCTGCCGCATGCCTTTCTCTCGGCTTCATGTGCGGTAGAAAGAGCCTATCGCTCAGCTACGGGAGGAGAAAAACACGCAAAATAAGATTAGGCGACGCCCAGCTATTCTCCGTCGACGTGCTGCATCTCCGCATCGATCGATGGAGTTCTTAGGCGCAGCCGCCGCCCGACTAGCCGGAAGCAAGGCATGTTTTTGTGGTATACTGACCGGTGCGGAACGCCCGCCATGTTTTAGATGGGCGCCGTTTTTTTTTTCATAGGCAGATCGCATTGTGGGTACTTCGTGTGTGTGCGGCTTACGCCGCGGCGTCTGCGTGGGAAAAAATTGACGAAAGATTTGCGCGCAGGCTGAACAATTGCTGGTCTTTGGTGATTTTTGTAATTTTTGTTCGGGGAATGCGAGGCGGAATAATTATGGGCGACGAAATGAAAGGCTCAATATAATACGAAATACAAAATACGAAATGGTATTTTATGAAACGAATATTCCTCTTCGTTCGTTTACTTTGCGATGGCCCGTGGTCTAAAAACTACTTCACGGCGATGTTAAGTGTCCGTGAAGTGTGTGTGTGTGTTGTGTGTGTGTGTGTGTGTGTGTGTGTGTGTGTGTGCGTGTGTGTCGTGTGTGGTGTGTGGTGTGTGTGTGTGTGGCGTGTGCGTGTGCGCGGCGTGTGTGTGTGCGTGTGCGTGGGTGCGTGTGTGTGTGTGTGTGTGTGTGCTGTGTGTGTGCGTGTGCGTGCTGTGTGTGCGTGTGTGTGTGTCTGTGTGTGTGTGTGGTGTGTGTGTGTGCTGTGTGTGTGTGTGTGTGTGTGTGTGTGTGGTTGCGTAACTGTGTGCTTTGGTGTGTGTGCGCGTGTGTGTGTGCGTGTGTGCGTGTGTGTGTATGTATGTGTGTATGTATGTGTGTGTGCTGTGTGTGTGTGTGTGTGTGTGTGTGTGTGTGTGTGGGTGCGCGTGGGTGTTGCGTGTGTCTGTTCGTAGTAGTAGTAGTAGTAGTAGTAGTAGTAGTAGTAGTAGTAGTAGTAGTAGTAGTAGTAGTAGTAGCAGTAGTAGTAGTAGTAGTAGTAGTAGTAGTAGTAGTAGTAGTAGTAGTAGTAGTAGTAGTAGTAGTAGTAGTAGTAGCAGTAGTAGTAGTAGTAGTAGTAGTAGTAGTAGTAGTAGTAGTAGTAGTAGTAGTAGTAGTAGTAGTAGTAGTAGTAGTAATAGTAGTAGTAGTAGTAGTAGTAGTAGTAGCAGTACTGGTGGTAGTAGCATTAGCAGCAGCAGCAGCAGCAGCAGCAGCACCACCACCACAACCACCACTACCAGCAGCAACAATAGTGGTAGTAGTAGCTCTTCTGTCAAGATAAACGAGCGGAGTGACAACAAAGACACTGACTTGTGACAAACGATCCTTTATTTAGCCATGATGATTTGCGAGGCTTTTCATGCGTTCATATGTTAGTTCATAGAGGGCGACACTGCACAGTAGTGTACCAACATCACATCTCCTTTTCTTTAAGATTGATAGACAGTCCACTGAGTCTTTGAGATGAATGGGAGACTGTATTGAAATCTGTTGATTGAATCACATATATACTTCCGAATAAACCAACTGTTAACTTTTCAACTAAATGTGGTCTCACTCCTTTTGAGCATCATAATGAATTGAATCTGTTGAAAACAAAATAGCCTTATATAACTCGGTGTTAGTTCAGTTCTTAGCAACGTCTGTACTAAGTGAGGCTAAGAGTAGAATAATGAGTCCAAAACCCGAGGACTAATGTAAACCTGGCAAAATATAACTGCCATGAACTCTGAATAGAAAAGCTAGTAACCTGTCCTGCCTTGAATCTATATAACACTAGAGTCACCGGTTGTGACTCTGCAAGCAATGAGCAGCGATCCGCCTACACTCATACTAAGCTTGCAATGCAGACCCGAAACGCAAGAGTTTAGGTGTCTGCATATCTTGGGTTTGGCTTTGATACACGGCCAGACCTTGTAACATACGTGGGAGGCTCCCTTGCGACACTAGAGCCACCACTAGCAAGTTTCCTTTCCCATGCTGGAGGCGATTCCAACCTTGGAGGCGGAGAGTCCGGGGAGTCTGTCTCTGGTAGCTTATTGATCTGGACTCGATTTCTCCTGAATTGTCCTGTAGGTGTGTTCACCACGTAAGACCGATCATGCACCTTGTTGTCGACGACTCCCGTCTCCTGACGACCTGGCAGGTAGACTTCTTGGCCTTCTTCCAACGAAGGGAGATCTCTAGCACGATGAGACCTGTCGAAGTTGATTTTCGACTGCATCCGGATATGCTCTTCCTTTCCACGGAGAACAACGGGATCAGGAACAGCTGGTAGCAGCTTCTCAGGAACCATAGGGATTTTGGTCCTGATACGACGATTGTACAAGAGTTCAGCTGGGCTAAACCCGCAAGCTAGAGGTGTGCTACGATAGCACAGCAACGCCGCGTAGGGATCTGCAGCGGAACTGAGCAGACCTTTGAGCGTTTTTACCGCTCTCTCTACCTCCCCATTTCCTGAAGAATGGTGAGGACTCATGGTAACATGCTGGAACCCGTAGTCGCGTGCGAATCTAGCAAACTCATCTGCAGTGTACTGGCCACCATTATCACTCATAAGAGTCTCCGGAACCCCGTGCCTAGCAAAGAACGATTTGAGATGGGTGACCGTAGTCTGACTGGTCAAGTCTTTGAGTCGCGCCATCTCTATGAATCGCGAGTAGTAATCAACTACTATCAGATACTAATCTTTTCTGAATTCCGTCGCGACTTTTTGCCAAGGCCTGGTAGGCATAACTGAGGGACGAGGCGGTTCCATCGGATTTCGCTCAGCTTTGCTACAAACGCGACAATTTTTCACAAGGTTCTCGATTTGACGGGAAATGCCCGGCCACCAAACCGACTGTAGAGCACGCTGGCGGCATTTCACAATCCCTTGATGCCCTTCGTGCAGACGATCCATCATCTCCAGACGAAGGGATGAGAGCACAAAGATGCGAGGGCGATACAGCAGTAGACATTGAACGATGGTCAGATCTGCCTGTTAAACCCAGTATTGCTGGAGCAAAGAAGTCAGTTGGCACTTGGCAGGCCAACAATTTTTCACGTACGTACGCAGTTGCCGGGATAGCTCGTCCTCCAACTGATGTTCACGAATCTGTCGCAGCCGAACGTCCGTAGCCGGCACGTTGTCAATCACGAGGTTGACATACGCGTTAGTCTCTTCACAAAGATCGTAATCCTTGCCTTCCTTGGCAGGTGTGGTCGGCGCACGCGAAAGAGTGTCCGCGATATAGAGCTTGCTTCCAGGCACATACTCGATATCATACGAGAATCGCATGAGTCGCATACGCATACGCTGTATACGTGGCGGCAGTTCCTCCAGAGATTTCGATCCGAGTAGCGAAATGAGCGGCTTGTGGTCCGTCTCAAGCGTGAAACGGAGCCCAATCAGATAGTCCTCGAAGCGACAGCATGCCCAGGTTGAAGCCAACGCTTCCTTCTCGATCTGAGCGTATCTGGTTTCTGCTGGAGCGAGCGATCTAGATGCGAAGGCCACCGGTTTCCACTGATCGTCCTAGTCCTTTTGCCTGATAACAGCTCCGAGTCCATATGAGGAACTGTCCGCAGTGACGCGTATTTTGCGAGAAGGATCATAGAGCATGAGCACTGACGCAGCACAGATCAGTTCCTTGATCTTCTGAAAAGCGTTTTCCTGCACCGGACCCCAAACCCAGTCATTCTTCACAGATAACAACTGTCTGAGATGATCCGTGTGTGTCGCGAGGTCTGGTAGAAACTTCCCCAGATGGTTCACCATGCCCATAAATCTTCGCAGATCCTGGACATTGAGTGGTCTAGGCAGCTTGGAGATAGCTTCGACTTTACTAGGGTCTACCTTGATACCACTTTGCCCGACTACGTGACCCGCAAAAGCTATTTCCGAAAATCTGAAGACACACTTGGCACGATTAAGTGTGACCCCCGCTTCGGCTAGCTTCTGAAGAACTTTCTCAAGGCGATCGTCATGTTCTTCAACCGTTTCTCCAAACACTACCAAGTCATCCATGATGCACACAACGCCGTCGAGTCCACGTAGAATGCTATGTATTTGACACTGATAATGTTCTGGTCCGGAGTTTATCCCGAATGGCAAACGCTGGTAACAGTAACGACCAAATGGAGTTATGAACGTGGTAAGAAGTTGAGACTCCTCGTCGGCCAACTTGATCTGATGAAACCCCCTGTTAGCGTCCAATTTCGAGAAAACTTCCGCACCTGCCATCTGACCCAGGACATGGTCGACGGTGGGCAACTGGTGACGCTCACGTATTACCGATTCATTGAGTTTCGTGAAATCACAGCAGACCCTGATGCTACCATTACGCTTTGGAACCACCACTATAGGCGCACACCAGTCTGTAGGCTGTGTCACTTTGCGTATGACACCCATAGTTTTTCAAGCGATCCAATTCCTCCTTCACCTTAGGCATTAGCGGAATAGCGACACGGATAGGTACGGGAACTGCGAATGGTTCCGCCCCCTCCCGCATGTTGATCTTGTATGGATGCGGCATTTCTCCCAGCCCCTTGAAAAGCTGGGGGTAGTCGTCGATACTACCCACATTAAGTTGCACTATGTCGAGATCACAACTAGTGTAGCGGCTTAGTAGCGCAGAGGCACCACCTTCGATGACGTATATTTCTGTCTGCACAGGTTTTCCTCCCTTGCTACGTCGAATGGTGCACTGGAAAGTACCGAGAGTTGGCAATGGCTTCCTGCTAGGACCTCTGAGCGTCCTGCGAGTAGGGAACAGCATTCTATGCTTGAAATGTTTCTCGTAAACCGACCTAGATATCACGTTTACATCTGCACCGGTATCGACACGGAAACTGATCGTAGCGCCATCTACGTCAAGCTTCACAATCCACTGATCGGATTCGGAATTATTACCCTGCTGATCCACCACGCCTAGAAATGCATCGCCCTGATCAACACGATCAAAGAAGTCAGATTGAGTGACTTCACGTACTCCCGATGCCGCATTCGACTGAGACTGACCAGTACGCACTTTTTCTGCACACATGACCAAAATGTCCCTTGTACCCGCACTTGGAACATTTTTTGTCTCTAGCTGGACAAAACTTTTGATCGTGAGGCCCTCTTAAGGATCACCACGTGGCGCTGGACTACCATGACTATGATGACCACCGTGTTTCTTCTTCGGCATGTGCTTCGATTGCTTCTTGAATGGCTTCCTCTCGACTGCACCCACATCTGCAGGAGCGCCTGAAGAGGGACTGGACACAGCTTTCCCGATTTCTTGAAGTCTAGAGACCGTGGCTTCATATGACCGGCACACGAGCAGTGCCTTCTCCAACGTGAGTTTCGTTTCATACAACAGCTTTTTCTGAGCAGCCGAATCCCTGATACCCATGAGCAGCCTATCTCTGATGAGAGAATCTCTCAATGTACCAAAATTACAGTTCTCAGAAAGCTTGAGTAACTCAGCATAAAAGTCATCTACCTTCTCACCTGGTTTCTGCACCCGAAGGTTGAAAAGGTACCGTTCGTAGGTCTCGTTCTTCGTTCCAACACAGCTATTTTCCGCAAGCCATTTTCCTTCGATGAAAATACGAAAAACTATACTGGACGAAAGTTCATGCTGTTTTCCAGCACTTCTGACACCATCTTCTGTCAAGATAAACGAGCGGAGTGACAACAAAGACACTGACTTGTGACAAACGATACTTTATTCAGCCATGATGATTTGCGTGTCCTTTCATGCGTTCATATGTTAGTTCATAAAGGGCGACACTGCACAGTAGTGTACCAACAT